TCTCGCCCTTTTGGTACTATTTTTTCTTTGACTTGTCTTGACAGCATGAACAAAACACACTTTTGGTTTTCAGCATAGCTGTATCATGTTTCAAGTTTATTAATCGTTAACATTTAGCAGTAGCAGTTTGTAGCGTTATTTCATCGTCATATTCCATACGAGATAAAAACCTCATGCATCGGTAGGAGAGTTCAGACCAGAAATGAATAATAAGCATTTAAATTGATCAATGGATAATATATTTACTTTAAATAGTTCCGCTTGTAAATTTACTCTTCTGGCGTTTGTAGTGTGGTCTTCATCAGCTTCGCTAATCAGTTGTAGACAGTTATACAGGATATGAAACAATGACATCTGTTCATAGAACATTTTATTTAAAATGTTAACAGTTTCATCGAAGTTAACTTATCGTGGATGTTAACCATTGAGTTAACAAATTATCATAAATGTTTATTTTTTAAGTGTAATTAGTGTAAATCGTTAAGTGAAATAAACCGCAAGATAATATTTCTTTTTCGAATATGTCGAACTCTTTTTGTTTTGAATATTTCTTTGGTAACTACTTATATGAAGAGAAGCTCATGAGAAATTGGTTTTAACATATGGCTTGTTAGTTTTACATTCATTTATTCAAGGTTTAATCCGTATATTTTTTCAAAAAACCTTGATTGAGTTCACTCTAATGTCGAAGTTGTGAAGTTAGTAAAAATAAAATAAAAATTATGGATTGATAACTAGATTTATCAACATAATCTTTCAAAATTGGACCTAGAAAATACTGTTCGAAAGTCAGGTTTCCACTTTTTGATAGTTTTAGCTGTACCAGTACTGGTTTATCTATCTATCACCCATTTATAACCCAATTTTAGGTTAGTATTTTTTTTATCAAATGAATAGTTAACTGCCCTAGTTAATATCAATATTGTCTTTATCTTAATGGCTTTTACATTTTTCTCAATACTTTTAACAACTTACAACATAAAACTTTATCTGATAGTGGAAGTTCTTGAAGGCTTTGTTGATTAAAGCATTACGTTTTTTGGCAGGTTGTTATATTTTGGTTGATTGTAATTGCGTCTTAGAGCATGATTAAATGGTAATATGAAGAAATGACTTTTCCTCTTTGTTATCTTTCTTTTTTTATTGATCGTACAGTAATGTTCTCTTTACAAATAACACTTTTCCAATATCGTTGCATAACTATGCAGTCTTGTTTTGTTTTCTATGACACTGTTAACCGATATTCTGAATACATTGAATTTATTCCCAACTATCAATATTTCCCAGTTTTAAATGGTTGTCTAAGATCAGCCCTTGATGTAAACCATAAAAAATCGATAATTTTTATAAAACTTCTTTAGCAGTAATAATCATGTGCGCGCTACTAACTAACTTCGAAATATAATGCCAGGAGTTCTAGTGCTTAGATATGAATAATGAAGTTCAACCATGTCGGGTGTGAAACATTTACCCACACAAGAGAATGGGAGATGGTCGCGCAATATTGCAAATTGATTGATATTAGACATGTAAACCACTGGATGCTGGCTCAGTAGTTTGGAAATTAAGGGTCTTCCGCAAGATCTAACCATCCTGGGTTCGATCTTCGGCAGGATTGTTAATTTACACTATTAGATAGTCCCATACTAAAACGAAATGGCCGAATAGTATTTCCTAATTTTTAATGGTTGTTTAAATAAAATTAATGGATGACGCGATCTATGAAAACTCAACTATCTCCAAAAACCTCTATGGTAAGATATATATATATACTAGACAGAAAGAGAAAGAAAGTATTTGAATACAATCTTCAGTTTACTCATAGATCGAATAAGAAAAGTGCATATTTGATTAAAGCATTTTCATTCGATAATATATTTAATGCATGAATCTCAATTTAATTCAAGCTCTTTGCTTCAAAGAACAAATAAAAAAAAGAAATGAATCAACCGTCGTAGTGATTTCTATTTGACTTTGATAATATTTAATTATTAATTGAAAGGGATTTCTTAAAATATTTTCATAGTTGATAAATTAGTATCCTGGTAGTTTGTTTGATTACATAATAATTTTTTTTTCAAATAATTGTGTAAATAAATTCAACAGAATATTATACTTTATATGAATAAGCAAATTTTGTAATTTGTGTAGATTATAAGACAATTTTTCGAAATGAAAGATAGACGAAATAATTGACAAATAAAAGTATTTAGTAATGTCTATTTTTTTTAAAAATTGTTTTAAAGACTAGTATTATCAATTAATTCATACAGAACTGAATATTGTATAATTTTTCATGGATAAATCAAATATATCTAAAAATTAAGAAGATACTTAGAATAAAAAGGACTGAATCATTTTTTAGAGAATAGGGTGCAAGTTTTGTTTGCTGGATGTGATAAATATACCAATCCATGTTAATTATACTTGAAAGTGAAGTGTCAGTTAATTTTTCAGTGAAATCATGAATCGACAAATGCTAGATCATCATTGAAGACCTGGAAACACTGGACAGCCATTTCGTTCTAGTATGAGACCCCTCAGTAGTGCACATCCATGATCTCGAGCGTAAGCGCTTAACCTCTACACCCCTTAGCCACGATCCAATGGTGTTAACGTCTAACATTCATGAATTCACAATATTACAAAACCACCTCCCATTGTCTTCGGTGAGTAACTGCTTCACACTCGACACGGTCTGACCCCACTGTTCACGGCTTCTCACTAGGACTTCAAGAATTCTTTCTCGAAGCCAGTCGCTGGTGAGCACATGATGATTATCAGTACAGGGCTGTTGATATTCTTGAGTTTCATTGAGTTAATGAACCGACCAGTTTTAGACCACCATTTAGAGCCGTTGGAAACCTGAAAGGTAGATATTAATTCCGTTGGATCCTGGCTCAGTGGTATAGAGGTTAAAAGCTCGTGCGCGAAACCGGTCTTTGGTCTGATCCCCGTGAGTGGGATCGTGAATACGCACTGCTGAGAAGTTCAATATTAGGACGAAATGACCGTTCAGTGTTTCCAGGTCTCCAATGATGGTCTAACATTTATCGGTTTATGATTTCAATAGAACTCAATAATCTCCACAACCCTATACTGATAATTCACTTCCCACTTGAAAAGGAACACTTCTATATAGTGAAATTCCGATGAACACCTTGGTCAGAAATGAAGTGCTATAGGAAGACTTCATAATAACTATGAGATCGATTATATTCAATGGGATTCGGTAGTGAAGAACATGGATGAGATAGTTAAGTAACTATATAAGTAAATAAACTTAACAAATAACTTATAAAACCTGGTAACATAACACCTTAAGCAGGTTATTTGCTTCATTATTTGAAGATGACATTCCTAATTGTCTAACTTGATTAGTTCCTCTGTACATAAATTTTGTGTGGATGGGAAATGTCTCGTTTTTAATAGTGACACTAAGGCTATGCAAATAAACTATCACTTATTGGTACGTATTTGGTAAGTATTAGTAATCCTGTTAAATGTTGAGATCTGTGTCAACAGAAATCCACGAATTTAAATCTTTATAAAAGTGTCATTCATGTGTTACATTTTCTATAGTTCATATTATGCTTTTTTGATCGATAGATATCAATTTTTCAAGATTTGATGACCATATCATTTGTGTAATGCATTAAAGAGTTAGCAGATATTTCCTTCAACTGATTACATTACTCGTAACTTTTTTGAAAGGGAATAAAAGATCCATGGGCCTCACAGTGATCATACAGAACTCCGAGTTACTGAAGTTAGATTTAGTTGAGTATTTCATGGGGAATGGTTAAAATTGAAGATTGTTTTTTTTGTTGTAAACTCACATCGATTGAAAAACCACCAAGGGAAGGACTACAAAGTTCTTTGTTATTTTATAAATCGTCTATGAGGAGAAATCGTTTACTACTGTTGATGAGTCTCAATCTAAAACAAAACAACTTTTAGTGATATTTCTTTTTCTATGGCTTTCCACTGGATGTCAGATATTGATGAAAACTATCTCTTTTAATTACTACCATTATATATCTCACCAATTAATCTACTCAATGAATTATGCGGTCATTTATTCTTTGGTGGTGTAGTTTTCCTTTTTTCTATTACTATTAATTTAAAATGTTACCGTATTATCGCTTACAATACAATACAAAGTCACAAGCTTTTTAAACAGATATTATATACTTATTATTGTACGGATCTGATTTTTATTAATAATTATAGGGGAGCAATTCATGTTTTTTTAATAATGCGTGATCACTCAGGGATATCAATAGTGGAGAAATACAACCCTTACAATTGATAATAAATAACGTTGGCGACTATAAAGACTCAGTAGTCTATAGTGGCTAACGCTCTGCAGTTTGTAGTGATGGTACAGAGCCAAAGTTTCAGTGAATAGATTAACACAGACATTATTATATACAACTGGTAGATGAAACTGGTGTCCTAAACATTATTTAAAACATATTATCGGCTTTTTGTCTTTTAATATATTTTACTTATTTGTTAAACAGATAAGGGTTAAGGTCAGAAGATTAATTTCAAATTGTTAAAAATAGTAGTAATAAATATTGCTTAGTTCTATTATGTATGTAATTCTATAGCGGCTAGCAGTAGAATAGAGGACGTGTGATTAATTACGTTTGGGATTTATCAGCTGGATGAAATTCACAAAAGGGATTGGTCAGTTACGTTTTTGAATATCAATAACTGTAAAATGGGAAACAAACAGTGTGAAATAATCCAACTAAAAGGCATTTAAATGACAGTCTTAATGCACTCAGTATTACACTTTACATTTTCAATGCAAATGTGAACTTTGCAACAATATAAAGCGTTATTTGTAAATTACGCAAAATATTGAATTTTAACGAATGTACTTCATAAGTAGCTTTTATATATAAAGCCTCAAGTATATGCAGTGTAAATGCTTTTGTTTAAGTAATCATAGCATATTCGAAAATTGCTGTTGTTGAGGATTGAAAAAAATGAATTTATTAGTATTCAGTATACTAATAACTTATATACTGAATAGCGTTTATAGTGCACACAATGGATATACTAATGGAATTGATACAACTACCAGTCATCATGGTGGAGGTGGAAGTCATGAAAGTTCTGTAGATGTTTATGATAAATATTCCAATGGTAAGATATACAGTAATGAGTACACAAGCGATGATTCCAGCAAGTACACTGACGGTAAAATCTATGATAAACATGATCATGAAAAAGGAGACGATAAATATGCTTACGGCAAAAACTATGGAAAAAGTTACGATAAATATGCTTATGACAAGTACGGGTATGGTAAATATGGATATGAAAAATATAGTTACGACAAATATAGTTATGGGAAATACGGATATGAAAAGGGTTACGAAAAGCATGGATATGACAAATATGGTAAGGATAAATATGGTTATGAGAAAGGTTACGACAAATATGGCTCTGATAAATATGGTTATGGGAAAAGCTACGACAAGTATGGCTCTGACAAATATGGTTATGAGAAGGGTTACGACAAATATGGCTACGAAAAGTATGGTTCTGACAAAAATAGCTATGAGGTCTACGACAAATATGGCTCTGAAAAATCTGTTTACGAGAAGGGTTACGACAAATATGGCTCTGACAAAGATAGTTATGAGGTCTACGATAAATATGGCTCTGACAAAAATAGTCATGAGAAGGTCTACGACAAGTATGGCTCCGACAAATATGGTTACGAGAAGGTCTACGATAAATATGGCTCTGACAAAAATAGGCATGAGAAGGTCTACGACACGTATGGCTCCGAAAAATATGGTTACGTGGCCTACGATAAATATGGCTCTGACAAAAATAGTCATGAGAAGGTCTACGACAAGTATGGCTCCGACAAAGATAGTTATGAGGTCTACGATAAATATGGCTCTGACAAAAATAGTTATGAGAAGGTCTACGACAAGTATGGCTCCGACAAATATGGTTACGAGAAGGTCTACGATAAATATGGCTCTGACAAAAATAGTCATGAGAAGGTCTACGACAAGTATGGCTCTGACAAAAATAGTTATGAGAAGGTCTACGACAAGTATGGCTCCGAAAAATATGGTTACGTGGCCTACGATAAATATGGCTCTGACAAAAATAGTCATGAGAAGGTCTACGACAAGTATGGCTCCGAAAAATATGGTTACGTGGCCTACGATAAATATGGCTCTGACAAAAATAGTCATGAGAAGGTCTACGACAAGTATGGCTCTGACAAATCTGTTTACGAGAAGAGTTACGACAAATATGGCTCTGACAAAAATAGTCATGAGAAGGTCTACGACAAATATGGCTCTGACAAATCTGTTTACGAGAAGAGTTACGACAAATATGGCTCTGACAAAAATAGTCACGAGGAGGTCTACGACAAATATGGCTCCGACAAAAATAGTTATGAGAAGGTCTACGACAAGTATGGCTCCGACAAATATGGTTATGAGAAGAGTTACGACAAATACGGCTACGGCAAGTATGGCTCTGACAAATATGGTTACGAGAAGGGTTACGACAAGTATGGCTCCGACAAATATGGTTATGAGAAGAGTTACGACAAATACGGCTACGGCAAGTATGGCTCTGACAAATATGTTTACGAGAAGGTCTACGGCAAATATGGCTCTGACAAATATGGTTATGAGAAGGGTTACGACAAATATGGATATGGCAAGTATGGCTCTGACAAATATGGTTACGAGAAGAGTTACGACAAATATGGCTCTGACAAATATGGTTATGAGAAGAGTTACGACAAATACGGCTACGGCAAGTATGGCTCTGACAAATATGTTTACGAGAAGGTCTACGGCAAATATGGCTCTGAGAAATATGGTTATGAGAAGGGTTACGACAAATATGGCTATGGCAAGTATGGCTCAGACAAATATGGTTACGAGAAGGGCTACGACAAATATGGCTATGACAAGTACGGGTATGACAAGTATGGTTATGGAAAAGATTATGAGAAATACGGTTACACCAAAGAATATGGTAAGCATTATAAGGATTACTATAAGAAATACGACAAATACGATTATGGTAATAAATATGAGTACAGTGATAGTAAAGACCACGATAAGCATGATCATGATGAACATACCCATCATGACGACCACGATCACCACCACCACCATCATGGGCATGACCACCATCATCATCATGGGCATGACCACCATCATCATGGACATGATCACAAACATGGCAAAGGATACTAATTACAGTGGATAACTTCTTCCTAAGATACATAAAAGCTAAAATTAATAGTCGCAATAAAGTGTCTTTCTCATTGCTTCTTCAATAATCAATTGATGAACCACACAGACAGTGAAAAAAAGTCACTTCTACTGTGATATTTAAAAAATTAGTTTTTATTTCCGCTAAAATAATAAAAATTACTAAAAGTCCAACGATTGTAGACGTTAATTTTATTTAAGCTATAATGTATTAAGCATATGAAGAGAAAAAATGTAACTAATGGATAAAAATTTATAAGATCACAGTGGTGACGGAAGAAAAGTTGATAATACTGTTACACGAGTAGCATCGGAATGGTAATTACGTTTATTATAGAGGGATTATAGATGGATAATATCATACATTTAGTTTAATTTGGAGAGTATTATGCGATTGGCATCTTTTTTATTTAGATTAACTTGTTGAGTGAATCTAAAATGTTTTTAAAATATATGCGTGTATATGTTTTAAACCAAAAACTTCTTGATAGATTTACAACGTAAACTACATGTGCTCAGACGTTTGAGTATTCAATTATGACACTGAGGTCGAGAACTGATCGAACTTTCACGACTTTTGGGAACGTGTGATGCCACTTCACTCTGATATTAGAACCCTCGCTAATGCTCATCCACGACCCCGCATCTTGGAGTTGAACCCTAAACCTTCAGTCTCACACGCTAACGCCTAACTTCTAGACCTTTCAGCCGGCATTCAAGTGTTAATGTCTAGCTTCAATCAACTCACCGTACTGCACAACTCCTACCCGTTACCTGCAATGGATAGCTGTGAAAATTTTACGAATTCCCTATATTATACATTTCTTAGTTAATATATGAGTTCGAGTCCTAGCAAGGTCGTGAGCGCATACTGCTGGGGAGCTCCACACTAGGATGAAATCGGTCCCTGGTTTTCAACAGTCGTTTAGCTAATATGAGTTTGAGGTGTAAGACTACGGATCGGGATATACATGATTTGACCCAAGATTTTACTGAATTGGTGTAATTTCCAGTCATAAACCTCATACATATAGTTTTACCATAGTACTGCCTTGTCAATTTAATATTTTTCAGTGGTAACGAATCTTTGGTATTTGGAAGAAGTTTTTCATCTAGTTAACCTATAATCATTAGCAGACATCTTCCATAAAACGAATATTATGTGGTAGTTATAATTGGTCAGCCTTAATTTCATATATGCTATGTCTAGACTGTTTCACAATATTTTCAAGTAGACTAACAAGTGGACAAAACTAGCTGGTTATGAATTGACATATAGATTTTTGTTGAATACTACTTATGAATAGTCTGACAATCCACAGTTCTCAGATGTTTATGGAATATTTAGCATGTGGTTTGCGGTGCAGTCTAGGAAGCGCGTCCAGTCCCCTTTTGGATTCGTCAGCTAAACGTACCACCATCCCACTATTAATACTCACACTGAGATCAAAGTTCAGCACCTTCTACGGTTTATCCAGTTATTTAGAAAATATTTTGCTGGTAACAATACATCTATTCTAAATAGCTTATGACAAAATAGGTGTATCGAGACAATCCATGAATGTTCCGCATGTGGTAATAAAGACTGAGCAAAATCCAGTTCTAATTATCAACCATGAGATAACCCAGAGGCTAACTAATAGTAATATGAGGTATTAGTAATGGTTTAGGTTTTTCCGCTGTTAAAGTTCAGTAATTCTGACAAATCCTCAGGGAATCGTCTCGATGAAACGTGTCCTGAATCGGACCCCTGTATACAAACCAAAAGTTGTAACTAAAGGTCCAGGATGAATACAAAGCAAGGGAGACCGACTAACTGAGGTCCTGAAAAACAACATCGGGAACCCGGATTAATCTACAGAAGGTCTATAGTCGTAAATGTATTCAAATGATGAACCAACAGGAACTAGGAAGCACTAGACATAAATTTTATTCCAGTATGGAAGTAGTTAGCTGCTAGTAACCACGACACCATGTAGAGTCGAACTCAGAAGTACATTATTCTTTGAACTACACCGGGATTCAGTGGTTCATATCTATAACTTCAGTCAACTTAAGGTATAGCGAGGTAACCACTCAGTGACTCTAGTAATAGTTGAAATTTGACAAGTTACCTCATAATCTCCTAACGATCGGTTTAGCAAACAAATGACGACGAGCAGAGTTCAGTTTCCTTATTTTGGTACTGAGGTCTGTCATGAGGTAGCTTTGGATCTGTGTTACTAAAAACCTTCCCGAGAGAAGCCAACAAAAGTCTCTACAATACAGTGAAATTATATTATAATTTCATAATTCTTGACGTTTTTTAGGGAGCGAACTTCACGATATTGTAATTTCTGTTTGTTCGAAATATGAAGATCTCTATATTACCTCACCATAATACAATAAATCATCAAATATCATTGAGGATTTTGAGTTTCTAATGAATCTAATGAAAAGCTTATCAGAAAGATGTATTCAAGTAATTCGAAGGGTTCGAAAAGTATGTTTTTGTATAAAAAAAAATGACACTAAGGGGATGACATTTTGGTGCATGTGTTTAGGTTTATTAGGTAAATTGTTCAGAAGTATAAACTATATCATTGGATACAAGATCCTCAAGGAGTTAATCCTTTCAATACAGATAAAATAGAAACGAGAAGACATTACCTGGTCTATATTCATCACACATCGATTATAAAGATAAATCCTATTTATAAATACTAAAAAAACATTTTATGGATCTTAAAATTAGTATATTAATAGGGTTGTATATTGTAATTCATACTACACAGATTACTGAAATATAGGATAACGGTGATTGCCGAACATAAGACTATAACATTGTCACACACTTAGAAAATGAAGTTCACTTTGAAAGAGTTTCATAGAATATTTCCGCTGCACAATACTACTAAAAAGTTTTTTGGTTTATATACCCAATTAGTATTCGTTGTTAAATTAGTGATGTCAATTATGTTAAATGGACACCCAATATATTGGAAAGTAATTGCCTCTAAAAGCATGCATATCATAGCTGAAATTAAAACTAGAAAATAATAAACGGTTATTACGAACTGAAAGACTGGTCTCTTGTTTCAATTGCTACACTTCGAGAACGTACGGAGGGTAGAAGAACTGCTAACACGAAAGGAAGTATGAAAAGGATAGTCACTGATCACGGGTATTTATGTCACTTAAATCACTGGAACTATGTCGCATATGGTAATCAACCACTGATTTATACCATCTAGTGTACCAACAACCTACAAACTCATATTGCAAAATATCCCAGGATTTATAGTGTACTAATATTTGTTGCAACGTTAAACATTCAAGTGAAAAATATATTTGATTTTTAAAAAAAAGACACTTTTCATATAATTAATCCTTCTCAGACATCCTTACGAGATGAGCATCGATTTCTTCGACCGTTAATTTCCTAAAATTAGGATAAAAATCCGCGTTAGTGACAAATATACAAGTTAACAAGTCGTTCTAAGAAATCAAGCTACTTAATAAGCGATAGTAATTTAGAAATGAACTAGATAACCAAGTCACAAACCATAAAAACGAAGAACCAACACAATAAATAGAGCTTCTACTGGAAAGACCCCTTTAATCATCTGACAGTTAAATGTAGATAGATAAATAAGCAGGAACCTCTTTAAAATCTCTTCGGTGGTCTCCTCCTCTTTAGATTTTTTCAGAGCAGTTCTAATGTACCAACAAAGCGTTCCACTTGGTCACTGGATCGCGGATGAAATGAAGGTGTTCGGACACAACTGATTCCGTCCTGTCGACAAAATTCTGAGAAGATAGAGAAATCAAACTGTGTTCCATTGTCGCTAACTATCAATTCTGAAACCCCGAAACGACCGAATAGTTGACGTACTTTTTTTACTGTGTAGCTTGCAGTTAGATGTTCCATGAGAAAAATTTCTGGCCACTTGCTGTGTGCATCAACAACCAGGAGGTAAGTTTGTCCATGAAGTGGACCAGCAAAGTCCAAGTGTATATGCTGTCACGGTGACCGTAGTGTTGGCCACGATTGTAGCTCTGCTTTCCGCGGTGCTATTGTTGCTAATGCACATTTGGTAGACGAACGGGACAGCTCCTTCAGTTGGGTGTCTAAATGCGACCAGTATATATAACTTTGTGCTAGTCCTTTCATGCGATTTATTCCAGGATGTCCTGCGTGCAACTGATCAAGTACTGCTGGTCGCAGCTTCTTTGAGATTGTGACACGTTCGGCAAATAGCAGGCAGTCGTCGATGATTGAGAGTCTACGCTAGTAAAGCTGTTGAAGCTCTGTGGATCTGATCTTCGAGGGATACCCTTCTAGGTGGAACTTTCTAATTCCTAGTAGGATTGGGTCTCGAAAGGTTTCTTCTCTGGCTTCATCTGACAACCCTGGAAAGTTTTGAATGGCATCTGCCACTATACTACATATTTCTGGGTCTATTGCTGTGAAGGCAATGATTATATCCTCTGGTCCAGAGTGTTGAACTCAAATTAATCGAGAGAGTCGGTTTGGTCGATAGTATTTGTCGAGTTATACTTGATACTGAAATCATAGCTCAGAAGCATTGTTGTTTAAAGCCGTAATCTATTGGCTATTTAGACAGGGATTCCTCTCTTCAAACCAAAGATTGCAATCAAAGGTTTGTGATCTGTCAGTAGAGTAAACCTACGGCCAAAGAGCATTTTATGGAATTTTTTAACAGAGAAAATTATTACAAGAGCATCCTTTTCAATTTGACTGTAGTTACACTAGGTTGGTGTGAGTGATCTCGCAGCATTTGCCTTTCCTGATATGTTCAGAAACACGCGAGATATCACTGCTCCAACTTCATGACTAGAGGCATCAGATACAACAACAATTCTCAAGCTGGGATGGAAGTGTGTTGAGAGAAGCTTTGAGCTGAGCAGTAATTTGACTTTGTCAAAAGATGCTTGACATTCTGATGACCACTAGTAATTCATTTAGAGGACCTCTCACTCGATGAATTTCAGCTAATGATCTAATCTATATTCCGCTAATACGTGTCGTCTTCGAAGTATGATGGGATGAGTTTCAATGAATCCATCAACTCAGTAAGTACCGAAATAACCCATTAGTCTTTCTGGACCTTTGGATTCAAATCACTGATAAATATAGGTGTTGTTTTCACAGCTATTTGGATATCTTGCTAAGCTATCTCGTAGTAAAGAGTACCTTTAGGGTCGACCAAGAAGCCTTTTAGTTTTTCTTGAAATGTACTCATGACGTTTTCATTGTTAAGATAAACTCCAAAGGGGTTTACTTATTATAACTTCTCTGAGTCCAATAAGAGGCAGGTAAATGCATGCTCGCATTGGAGCATGAATATAGTCTAAATGTGTACCTCATAACATGTGGTGGTCTTGGACAGAGACTCTCCAACCATGGATGATGTCCATATAGTTTATCACAGTCCATAGTTTAGTCGGTTTTGGGGTTAGTCATGTGAGATGTCTCCTATTGTTTTAATTTGGTGCTTGCTCAAAACGGCTGTAAGAGCTTAGTTGCAGTAGACAGTCATCATTATCTGTTCGCTGAGCTGGGATACCGTAAGCGTCTTTTACTTTAGACTACTTATCTAAGATTACCTGGGACGATTACTACATTTAAACACTAAGATTCATGAAGGTTAGAAGGCTTTTCGTAAAACTTTTCATTTATTCGAACCGTAGTTAACGAATAGCAGATACAGATAATCGAAGGCAACAGTGTATCGAAGTTAGATCGTATGCATCAGCGTGTGGAAATAAAGCCGAATTTACAAGAGAATGATTGACTTTACAGATAAAAGAAATATTATGAAATGACGAATGGGTTTGATTGTGAATAGGGTGATCTCGAGTGGTAATAGAGATTTGGGTGGTTTTCACTCTCCGGTTGCACATACCGTGAAGATACTTCTTGAGGTACTCAAAAAAATGAAAGTGAACCAAACGTGATCTTGAAGTCCCGGGAGTGTGAATACAGAATCCAAGAAACGAATTCTAACGGTCGGTAACACGCTATTGCGAGTAGAGTCTAATGTGTTAATTACGTACTTTGAGGGTTTTACTGCAGGGGATGGAAATCGGTGGGGCAAGGTGAGTTATGTTATCCTAACACCGAACTGTCCAAGTCCCTAACATGTTGTGAGAAGGTAGCATAACTGTAGGTGCTGTCTGTCTGAAAGCAACACCTAGCTGCCACCACAATTTATGTGCAGTAAGCAGTACAACTCGCTTGGACTCTAAGTTGCTGCTAATGAATCACACTTTGCATAGCTATAGGCAACTACCATTAACATTCTGGAAATCTGTAATGATTTGAGAATATTGGCTGTAACGTCAGAGCTGGTTAATAATGGAATATCAGAGTATTTTGACTTCTAATACGGCCGAGAGTGGGGAGAGTCCGCTCTCCTCGAAATGCTCTCACGTGACCACGCGTATATAGCCTCTGCCGGGGAAGTCCTACCCACTGCCTTCTCATAGCGGGGGTGTTGTTTACGAAAATGAGAGGACGAAAAGCGAATGTCTGGCGCTTTAACGGGATTCCAAACCAATGGTGCACATGAGCTCCAGTATGCTGTAGGAACGAATGGCGTATGAACCAATTGTTGCTCACCGGCTTCCACGGGAATGCATCTCCTTACGATGCTCCACTGCCTCGAGGATCAGACCCTCAGGTAGGAGGCTCGGGGTGTGGCCCCCTAAGAAAACCACCTGTTTCGGTTTGGGCACCCAGGCAGCATCACAGCCCTCACACATCGAATGAGATTTGTGTGGCGCATATGTATTTGGTGCCTCCTTGTACCAATATCTATGTGTTAAAATAAATAATAAATAATGTGTCTAAACGACTGAAATTGATAACAGCCTTCAAAGTGACCAAGATGTAGTGAAATGCTTTTCAAACTTGCTGATGCATGAGCAACGTAATCCATTCCACTTAGTAATCTAATGACGACCATTTAAGAAGTATTAATACCAGTTTGTCTTGTATGCTGCTTGCAAACTCTCGGTTTTCATGCATACACATATACTTCAAGTATCTTGATCAAATGATTTAAATAAAAGCTGAGTATTTGTAGAATTATACGATAGTATTTGATAAGCTAAATGTAAAAGATAAACATGGGATCATGAAAACAATTTCAAATCAGAATATAGACACATGCAAACGTTTACCTGAAGATGGGATCTGCTTTTGACACGACTGCAATTTCCAATTCTGTGGCTTTAAAATCCATGGAATGAGTATGTGAAAGACAACTAATGGCTAGTTCGATAGCCTCCTCTAAAGTGTAGTTTTCTTGCTTTCGGAACTGAAAGATACGCAATATAGGACAAGCATTTGGATTAAAAGACTTTGAATGTGGATAAAAAGAATACAAACTCAGACTTGACTATACGACCAGCCTTCCTAAAATTCCTCAATCGTTAGTCTCGTCAACCGTCCCGAAACTTCTAACAAAAGGAGCTAAATACAATTATCGTCATAAAATCTGTTAATAACTCAACACTTTATAGTGTAACATCTCAAACAAGTACTTGCCAAGAAATCTTGAGAGTGACGTACCATGACTGTAACTGGCTGACATCAGCAATAAAACTCGAAATAAAGCCTTGGTCGATAAGTTTAATTCGATTTTTAACTAACAAACACCCGCAGACGGACATTTTTCACGCGCTTGCATTGACACAGCAATTACTCGAAGGTTTAGAATATTATGGCGAGAAATTATGTTCGTGCTACTGAATACTAAATAAACTATGGACTTTTTAATATTCTATGGCACTGATCTGTATGATTCACGTGGCTTAGGTGAATGAAACATACTCATACTTGCAGCAAAATAGTATAAAATAAATTAAAAGCTCACGACAATTAAGGGTATCTAATATATCTTAGTGTGCTTGGAACAAAAACTGGTTAGACACACTTAGTCTTCAGTAATAAGGATAGTAGGTTGATGAACCTGTGTTAATCCTGAAACATTGCTTTCCAGTGAAGGTCCAGATTTTCCTTGAACGTATTCACTGATGGGGCTGATACCAGTGATTTCATGCCGATTTATACGATCTACGTATACTTAGCAAGTTGTTATTACGAGATGATGAACGAAAGCAGACGGCTTTAATAATAAAGAGTTAATCTACATAACATCTAACATGAAATATAGGTTTGGAAGGTGGACACTAAATATATGAACCACAGGAGGATTGACCTGTAGAAAATGGATGTACCTCATTTTCCAAATGACGCATAGCTTCGGTTTGCTTGTCACCAACAGCGATTGCTCGATGTCCTGCTACAAATCCACTAGGATCAGATTTGTATAGTTGGGGTTTCCCGAGTTCTTCATCATAAGAAATAGCCAACATGGCACAACCAAGTGGTCTCATTTCGGCGGATTGTGTATATACTTGATTGATTTCACCGATTCGGTGTAACAGCACGTCACATGGGACCTCATAACTGCAAACGCCTCGATGTTAACGATAAAAACGTAAGATTACAAACCCAAACTTGTGTTTGAATGTTGCAGCCTCATATCTGGCTCGTTGTACTTGGGCGCGACAATCTGGTGCCATACCAGTCATGATGCATCCAGTAGAATCCGTAAGACGAAATATGCGTGTCATAGATCTTCGGTCGATTAATTTATCTGGAAGCTTCAGTTGGGCAGCAACAACCGCGCAGTCGTTACCGCGCACACCCACGGATAAGTGACCATCAAGACTGATAGCCTTAAAAGTGTATTCTACTTGATAAAGTCGCCCCTCGGGTGAGAAAATTGTCATAAAGCGATCAAAACCACTCGGAGTTGAGGCACTCATTGTGTAATCTATGATCACACAAACCTCTCGGATTAGGCGCCACTCTCCGGTACAATGAGGTTATTACAAATTTGATCATTATAGCGCTGTAAAAATCATACACTATTAACTTATATTTTCGTTTACCTGACTCTAATGATCTTCCTTCTGTCTTATTTCTAACTGCAATCCTTATCCTTTTGGAGTGAAGAAGGAAATACTATGTTTCCGTACTCTAAATGGGGACGGGTAAAACTGTTGGAGATTATATGGAAAGTTCTTCCGTCAAACTGGCCAAAAATGTGCTTCAATTTTACCAGTGCAAGGTTTGCTCGGAAGGCATTTTTGTCACAGCTAGCATAAGACTTTAAATCGTAGGGCACCAGGACTCCTAAATATTTTTCGTCTTGGGACACTACTAGAAAGGATTTTCCTAAGTTATAACTGTAGTCTGTGACATGTCGCAGATTGGAAGTTATTAGTGATCAGATGGTCTATGTTATTATTGTAAATGGCGTCCTTTCGGTTTGATCACCTTCTTTGAGAAAGGTGTTCTGTCGAATGACATAACGGTCACACGGATTTTAAGCGATTGACAACGCTTATGTCCTTAACGTCTTTTCAAGAGGTCCTAAAGCCTTTCAAATCATCATTCAGGGATGAAGCACTTCGAAGATGTTTCCTGTTGACTACCTCCAACCACCATCTAAATCTCAATACATAGTGCCCGCAGTGTCCAGTCACCTAGACTGGTGGCCACATTGCAACATGATCGATAGCATTCGATCTGCACTAATAAGGACTAGACAAGCAAGACATTGATCGCCAACCAGTGATCAATCAGTTGCAGATGTATTCGGAAAATGGTCGGTATGTCAATATTTTTAACGTCTGAGCCAGCTAGTTGTTGTAAGAAATGCGCTGTACCGCTTACATAAACGTGATCAGGTGAAGATAGCTGATTGAGTACCTACATCCAGAGGTGCATCCTCTAATACATGTGGGGGTGAATAAATCCCCGAAGCAAATAGTTCGGTAAATCTTCAGCACTAATTTTGATTTCATCAGCTTTACTGGACGCATCCTAGCTGACGAGGCTCGGTCACTCATCTGCACAAAATAACGAGTGGGTACGTCGTGCTATGCATCCCTTGCAACTGCTGTACAGCTTAGATCAAACGCTTCCCAACATATCTATAACTTGTCAAATATGGCCTCAAACTCTATTCCTGACTTCTGGTTTGACTGTATTTGGATCCTTGATCATAAATTTGTTACTGACAAAGTGTTGCTATGAATGTCCATCGCATATTTTCACTAACGAAGTCAGCATCAGTGTTAATGACTTACAAAGCTTTTAATTCAAGAATTTATCCACTAATAGAGCTCACATCCACTTAGTGACATAGTTTAGAACCTAGAACGTGACGGGCCAGGAGTGTTAATCCAGTGAGATTGTCGTCGATCAACACCCTTCTGATGTAATCCAACGTCCTGGAACGTCTGCTCTTCTTTCCTCACTCTGTGATAAAGTATGTAAAATTAAAAGGTCTGTTTTTCGTATCTGTATTATATTTTTCACCTTTCCCATTTGTCCTAGTAAAGATAGATGAAAGTGTAAGTTCGTGTCGAATACAGTTGTGTTTGTTTAGAATCAAATGTCGTATAGGTCTTGATCCTACTAAAAAGCATTTCATTCAATTCCCGGTACTTGCATGCTTTAAAGGCAACATGACAAAATACTTCCTGGACCCAGGCCAAGAACTTCCTTGATGTCGACTACCCACACACAATAATCCATCTGCTATCAAAATATTCAACAGTCGTAATGGGTAGTTCATTAATTTCATTTTAATACTTGTTTTAGACTACATAAACATTTTAATTCAAAACACCCCCTTTGGACGGATCAGTTTAGATTAGATTCAAACAGGTTAAATTTCATTCGTCTAGTTTGAGCACTCCTGTTCGTAATGATAAACCAATCCTTCCACAGATTGTTACTGGAAGATACTGTTTCACTCACCTTAAAGACAGTATTATCTTAAGCAGCTTTGTTCAATCTGAAAAATAGGTTTTGAGGTGATCATCAATGTATTTTCCCTGTGCTAAATGCATGACATCTCCACTCTTTTGATCCACAAGTTGTCGGACAGGATATTGTCTAACGTCATTAATCTTACTTACTTGCTTGCTTACACCTGTTACCCCGAATGGATCATAAGCCGCCGACCAGCATTCTCCGATCCACTCTGTCCTGGGACTTCGTTTCTAGTTCTGTCCAATTGTTGTTCATTCTATCCATATCTCTATTTCTCGGCATAATGTGTTCTTTGGTCTTCTTCCCCTTTGGCCTTGAGAATTCCAGCCGAGGGCTTGCCTTGTGATGACGCAGTTGGGTGCTTCCCTTAATGTGTGTCCTATCCACCTCGAGCGCTTCTTCCTGATTTCTTCCTCCACTGAAATCTGTTTTGCTCTTTCCCAGCATAAAATAATAGGAAATATAATCTCTATACAAAATGAGGGAGTGAATATGTAATGGCATTGTGCCCTGATTACACAATCCTCAAAGCTGAACACGAGACAGTTGGGGAAATAGATAATCAAAATTTAATGCGGAAAAAAACCAATAATGGGGAAGGTGGGATCAATGAATGGAATGAATTCAAATTGATCGGATGCCATGGCTCGGCCTTGCGGGCGTGGTCACTGTTAAATGTTATCTTATATCCTTTATTCATATTGTTCTACCGTTTTTATTGCTATTACTCGATAGACGTTAAAACAATATCCAATAATTAGAAGTATGACCTCTATTTTTGGCACTGAAATGAGTGAACAGATTTTCCTAAGACTTTTAGTTATTATTTTAGATGGCATTATGCACTGCTTTACTTGATGAAGGCGTTGATAAACTTTTATTAAGTTATGACAAGTAGTAGCAATCTGAATGGTAATGTAGCGGTAAATAAATCTCCAAAATAAATAGTTCTGTATGTTTTCGACATTGACCACATTAGTTTTAATGGACTCACTTAGCTGAAGGCGGTCATGCATCCGCACCAGATCACGAGTGGGAATGCCGTGCTCAACATCTCCTGCAATCACTAGCCAGATTAGATCAGACGATCCTTGATATATTGATATCCTATCAAATATATCTTCGAACATCCTCACTTCTATCTTTTGATTTCACTTGGTGGGTACAATTCATAATAAGTGTTACTGGTTAAAGCGTTATCAAACCCCAAATATCTGTGGCATCTACAGTAATTCGATGAGTATTACTGACCACGGTGCAGATGTACGACGTAGAGGTCCCCAGGGCAATTAGTTAACCAGATACTGTTAACTTTGGGTAGCATTAATGTGACTGAGTTTTCTAGGTAGCTTTAGTATACACTGTAAGCTTGTTACATGAGGCATCCTATCGACTTTTAGTAGACATTTATACTGGTTTGCCTTTCTATATTGCTGTAAGTGTGGAATAATTGAATAATTTATGTTTTACATTGTTAATGCAAAACATACATTTGATTGCGTGTCATTGTGAAATATGTTTATATAATTCGGCCTCGCAAGTCGTTGTTTCAGTGTCTGTATAACTATGGCAGATGTACGTCTAACTGATAACAACAATTACTTGTACAAGTATGTTTTCCTGGAGTCGGAAGCAGAACGGGATTGTTATCATGATGCATAAAACGAAAACGTAGTCTTTACTTTGGACGTGGACGTCACAACGTGTATTCTTTAGCCTTCCACTTTTTCGCTTACCTTCAGGATTTCAAGTTAATGCTCGCCCAGCGATGCATTGTGGTAATTTCCGTAATTATTATTATTATTATTCACAAACATCTTATGGGCACATAAGTGTTGTGAAGAAACCATTTCGGGTTTCTTCAGAAAATGCAATAATGCACAATTTTCAATAATGTTAGCATTATACTTGCCATATTTAAAAAAAATTTAGAATAATAATAGTAGAATATTAATAATAACAAATCGGGTCTTTGTAATTGAGAAGAATATTGAATTGAGTTTAAAGAAGGAAATGGAGAAAATAAGGGAATAGAAATAAAGGAGACCTGAAATACGCAAACAATCTAATAGGCGTGTTTATGAACACAGAACAAGAATAAACGACTATGTGTGTATCGTTAAATTAGTAACAAAAAATAATTTATCACTGTAGTAAGATATGACGCTAGAATAAATGTTTGTGCAGTTATAGTTTAGAGTGATGCTATGATAGTCACAATTAAGTGAAAAGGATAATAAAATATCACTATGTATGAGTCATATATGCATAGTGAAGATAAAACGAATCTGAGAAGTTAATTCAAGAGTAACACAAGTTATTATTTTAATTACAAACTTCGTAATCTTAAGAATAATATTTATTCAGAGGGAAAGAAGAGTCGGAAGCAGAACGGGATTGTTATCATGATGCATAAAAGGAAAACGTAGTCTTTACTTTGGACGTGGACGTCACGACGTGTATTCTTCGGCCTTCCATTTTTTCGCTTCCCTTCAGGATTCCAAGTTAATGCTCGCTCAGCAATGCATTTTGGTAATTTCTGTAATATATATCCTATCCACTTCCAGCGTCTTTACCTAATTTCCTCTTCAGCTGGAAGCTAGTTTGTTTTCTCCCACAGTAGGCTGTTGCTGATGGTATCCGGCCAAGGAATGCTAAGTATCTTGTGTAGACAACTATTTAGTAATACTTGTACCTTCTTGATGACTTAGCACCTTCTGCCACATTGAACTTAGTGCTTCTTTAACCGCATTCCAGTTGTCCTCCATAGTGGTTTTTTCTTCTTCGAATAGACCTTGTAAGGCTTGGAACCTGTTGTTGATAGCTAACCTAAATTTATTGAGTTTGCCAGTATCTCCAAGGAAGGCTGTATTGAACCTTTGTATTGCTGTCTGTCCAATTATCCAACCCCTCCTTAGCTTCAGTTTCATTTTGGTAACCACCGCGTAGTGATCTGAAATTATGTCAGCTAATCTCCTGGTTCTCACGTCTTCTGTTGACCTTATGAATATTTTATTACTACAAATGTGATTGATCTGGTTCTCT